TCTTTGCTTCCAGGTGCTGATGGTTCGATTTGCCTCTCTGTTCAACATCGCCGAGCGGACGGTGACCTTCCTGAGTGGCAAACGCTACAGCCTTGACACACTACGCTCATTGGGTGCCGGCGAGCTCCTCAACTCCATGTGCGAGTTCAGCGAGAAGTTGGCGGCGCTGCGGCTCAGTGCAGACGAAATGAGCCTCTTCACCGCTGTGGTGCTTGTCTCAGCTGGTGAGTAACATACACCATACATATATGGACAACAATTTAACGGCACAACTTGCAGTATTATCACAGTGGAAGGAGTTCTCCAGTAACAATGCCCTCTCTCTCTCTTTGTTGTATTTGTTCTGGCTCAGACCGCTCAGGGATCCAGGACTTAAAATCAGTGGAGGCTCTGCAGGACAAACTTATCCGAGCACTGAGAAACCTGGTGATGCAGAACCACGGCGATGAGTCGGCCACCACATTCACCAAGCTGCTGCTCAAACTTCCTGAACTGCGCTCGCTCAACAACATGCACTCAGAGGAACTACTCTCGTTCAAAGTGCATCCTTAAAAAGCTTCCTGAGCGGGTACTCGTGTAACTTCCACTTCCTCCACACACACCTTCACCCGGACCTGCCTCTTACCATGCCCTCTCAGCCCCCCCTTTCCCTGCAAACTGACCAACCCAGTTGTGTGTTTGTTTCTAGAATGTATGAAACTGTTTTTTGTTTTTTTTTTATTCTATTTTTGTTGAAAAGAGAACAATTAAAAATGTACTGTATTTATAGAAGACGTAGCTTACGCTTGTTGCACACAAACACACGCAAGTGCTCGTGTGTCAGAGGTTTATAGTTTTGCAGTTCGATGCAGTTTTCTATTTTTAAAAGCACGAAGAGTATTTAACTGGCTTAATGAGAATATAGAATAGAAACTAATTAGTCCATGATATTGATTATTTTTTAACATGTTTCCTCCAAAAGCCATTTAATTCCAAAGTGTATTCTCTAATGAGCGGGTGAATGTGAGAGATTATATATATATATATATATATATATATATGTAGACATATACTGTACCTTACACACATTTTTTTGACTGCTACATGTTTGTTGAGGAAAACAAGCTATCAGAAAAATATTGAAAATTGTGTGAAGATTGCTGCTAATGCATGGCTGTATTAATGCAAAACTACTATTATCCCCCCCCCCCCCCCC